AATGGTAGAGTCAGAATTTGGCGTAAACAGAATGAGAACATGGATCCATCATGCCTTGTTACCACTGTGCAGGCTGGTGGTGGTGGTGTAATGGTGTGGGGGATGTTTTCTTGGCACACTTTAGGTCCCTTAGTGCCAATTGGGCATCGTTTAAAGGCTTACCTGAGCATTGTTTCTGACCATGTCCATCCCTTTATGACCACCATGTACCCATCCTCTGATGGCTACTTCCAGCAGGATAATGCACCATGTCACAAAGCTCGAATCATTTCAAATTGGTTTCTTGAACATGACAATGAGTTCACTGTACTAAAATGGCCCGCACAGTCACCAGATCTCAACCCAATAGAGCATCTTTGGGATGTGGTGGAACGGGAGCTTCGTGCCCTGGATGTGCATCCCACAAATCTCCATCAACTGCAAGATGCTATTTAAAAATATTTAATAAGGTACAAATTTAGGCAGGGGGTGGTCTACACTTTACAGCCCTTTACACCCCCTGAACTCAGACATGCATCTTGTAATGATGGCGTATACCTGCTTTAAGTGTCAAACGTGCAGCTATTTTGCTGTTAAAGTGAACCAAGACTCAGTATTTTTATGCACCACAGTTTTCATATTTGACAAATATAATGAAGCTGTAGAAGAAAACTTTGAGACTGCAGTAAAACACAAGATTGTTTATGTAAAATTACCAAGTATAATACTTTTAAAAGGATGTTAAAATAAAACTACTAATAATCTTCAGCTTAGTGCTTATTAGGAAACAAAACATATTTTGAAGGACATTTCAGTAATGAGCCCATGAGCTCGATTCCATTTCCATGGGATTCAAAAAAGCAAATAAAGTCAGCCAAGTTAAACTTTGCTATGCACTACCTACAGAGGAACCATCTTCACACATGGGTGGGATAAATTTTTATTGTACAGCCAATTACAAGTGCTGTTCACATTTTTGACTTCCTTGAAGTTATCCAGCAAGTTAAGCATTCTTCCTCTCCTTTGGTTTACTAAAGGCATACAACTTACAAACAGGTAAAGGCATTCAACTTTTCTCATTAAGAAAATACATCATCCATCCATTCATTTATAATACAAAACAAATAAATAAAATTATATACACAAACTCACACAAGTGCACATATGTATACATAGGCCACTCCTGTTTTAACCTCAGAGGCCGACACAGTGGCCCACAGTGTTTTAACCTGGGAACATGATACATTATTGTTCAGACAGGTCCTGTGTAAGTGAGAAGCAAAAGGACTTTAGACATGGGGATTGGGATCCAGTCTGTTCATAAGCACCATTGAGTCTTGTTACAATGTCAACACAATCTGTATTACACCTAAATGATTATTGCGGGAAAAATACAGATATTTCCCTAACAAGGGATATGCTGAACAAATTAAAAATGCTAGCAAAGTATTAGTATCTTGGTAAGATGGCCAACTTGATTTCCACAGCAACCTTAAACACAACTTTAAAAGAATTAAATGACAAAGCAATAAATTAGGTTTTATTATTTTAAAAATTATTCTAAAAAAAAGCCTTGCCACATACAGGCATAGTAAATAAAATGGACCTGAAAATGAAATCTGGTAGTTTGGACATCTTAAGCAAATCAGCAAAGAATTGGACAAAAGTATTTAGGATGCAGGTATTAAATTGATATTATCAGTCTTATGTTTTTGTCCAATTCACATATTAATTTTACAATCAGAGGTATTACAGGGAAAAAAAATGCCAAAGTTCTTTAGTGAAACCTTTTGTTGTATGTCAAGACACACATTGCATTTACTATGAAAAAGCATAATCTACAAATGCAGCTGAAGCTTGAAAACATCTAGGTCAGGAGACCTCAACTATTGTTCTGTGAGGGCCAAATTCCACCAGCATCACAAACCCAATGTCCACTGCATCCTTCAAAGGGTTAAACCATGTCGAAAATAAAATTTGCTGAGGTGTGGTGGGGGGGTGCAATCAATTGTGATGTGAAGACTCAATTGTGGTTCGGTCCGCCATTTGGTGATCACTGGTTTAGACCCATTTAGTATACTGTTGCTACTGCCTGTAAAACACTGGCTGACACACTTTGTGCATTATCATTCTTTAAGAATGTTTCAATACTAATGACCTCATATGAGAGAAAAAGGAAAGGGAGGGTCCAAGACACACATCTCTAGCACACCTATCACTCATGCACTATTAGTACAAAGTACAAAAGGAAACACAAATTCCTAGCATCAGATCAATAGTCATGTTTGACAGACTTCTAAATATAAATACAACTGTTTCCAAAAAATTGGGTCTGCTGCGTAAAATGTAAATAAAAACAAAATCAATAACTCAAATCAAATCAAACCTATATTTGATTGAAAATAGTTTCAATATTCAATGTCTTTGTTCTGAGGTTTTGTTGATTTATTGCAAATACATTCTCAGTTTGAACATTGATGCAAGCAACATGTTTCAAAAAAGTTGACAGGAGTTGCATCACTTCTTTTAACAACACTCCAGTTGCTAGAGTTCTGAAAGTGAAATCTTGTCCCATTCTTACCTGATATTGGATTTCAACTGCTCAAGAGTTTGGGGTTTCCTTTGTCGTATTTTTTGTTTCATGATTGGCCAAATGTTTTCAGTGAGTGACACGTCTGCAGGCAGGCCAGTCTAGCACCCAGACTCTTCTACTACGGTGCCATGCTGGTGTAATACACACAGAATACAGTTTGGCATTGTCCAGCTGAAATATACAAGGCCATTTCTGAAAAAGGCGTTGTCTGGATGGCAGCATACATTGCTCCAAAACATACATACATATATATCCTTCCCAAATGTGCAAGCTACCCAAGCCATGGGCACTACTGCACCCCACGCCATTATGGCTGCTGGCTATCCGCTGATACACTGGATGGTCCCTCTCCACTTTAGTCCAGAAGATGTGGCATCCATGATTTCCAAGAAATAATTTGAAATTTTGATTTGTCAGACCACAGGACAGTTTTCCATTTTGCCTCAGGCCATCTTAATATAAGCACAGGCCCAGAGAAATCGGCGGCATTTCAGGATGTTTAGATATTGTTTCTTCTTTGCATGCTAGAGTTTCAGCTTGCATTTGTGGATACAGCGACGAATGATAGTGTTTACAGGCAATGATTTTTGGAATTGTTCCTGACACCATGCAGTGATTTTTACTATAGAATCGTGTCTGTTTTTAATGTTGTGCCGCCCTAGGACCCGAAGGTTATGGCTATCCAATATTTGTTTTAGGTATTATGGTATTATGTACCGTAGATGACGAAATTCCCAAATTCTTTGCAGTATTACATCCAAGAACATTCTCAAATGTTTGACCTATTTGCCCGTGCAGTCTTTCACAGAGTGGTGAACCTCTCCCCAACTTCACTGCAAAGACTCTGCCTCTCTGACATGCTCTTTTTTAACCCAATCATCTTACCGACCTGTTGCTAATTAACCTAATTTTATGTGAGACATTCAACCAGGTGTTTTGCTTGAACATTATACAACAATTCTAGTCTTTTGTTGCCCCATCCCAGCTTTTTTGAAATGTGTTGCTGGCATCAAATTCAAATTGAACATATATTTGTCATAAAACAATATTCAATTTCTCAGTTTCAGTATTTGATATGTCTTTGTTCTATTTTCAGCTAAATATTGGTTTATGATTTGTAAATCATTGAATTCTGTTTTTATTTACATTTTACACAGTGTCCCAAATTTTTGGAAACAGGGTTGTATGATAGCTTCAAAAGGAGAGACTCTAGAAAGGATTAACAAAATGGTCAATGTAGTGAACTCTGGAATAATTGCCAACCCACTGCAGAATAGCAGATAACCATGACTCTGTACTTGTTTTCCAGATTAATACAAAAAGAGTAAAATACAAGGTTTGTATAAAACTGCCCAAAATATTTTTACATAATATATATATATATACTAGTTGTCACAGCTGGCAACTGTTGTTAAAATATAGCAGGGGGTTGAGTATTTGGGTCCAGGCACTTAGTACAGTTTACGTGTCCTGACAAGCCAAGGTTAGGCCATCAAAAACATTAGTGTCTTCCATATTATTGTCAAAAAATGGATGCAAATTTTCCAAAGTATTATGGACCTTTCAGCAGTGGTGCAGTTTCTGTGTCCCCTTGTGTTTCTGCTCTCACAGTGAACATTTGCTCCATCTCACAGAACAGGAGTCCCATAAGCCCTGGCAAAAGTCTTCATGAGGGACATCTGCTTGGAAAGCAGTCTGATATTACCTTGCCTTTTGGACCAAATCAGCACATCACAATGTCCCCCTGCTACCCAGACGTAGACCGTGTACACCTCCAGTTTGGCTGTATTTTACCACATACCTGCAAATTAACATATATAAAACACATTAATATTGAGGCCTACTATTATGAACAAGCCAATGTCATTTTACACTTATATGTTCCTGACACAAAGAAAATACTCTGAACAAAACCCATTAGTAAAATCAAAGTCTGGTTGTTCATATTATAAGCTTAAGTTTTCAGATTCCCATGTTTGTGTGGATTGTGTTTGTTTTTTCATGCAACATCTACATAGCTTTCATAGGCCAAACACTACATGAATCAGAGTGTGTGTGTGTGTGTATGCCCTGTGACTGATTGGAATCTCAGGCATAGTATTCACCACCTGTTGGGATAGGTTCTAGGCCTACCTTCATATTCATTAATTACATATACATTTTCAGAGTGTAGCAAGAACAGAATGTAAATGTACCTCCATACGCAAACATTAATTCCAGTTTCAGTTCTTAAATGTATACCAGCATACAAACCCAGTAATCACTTCACTTCACTAGACAAGAATACAAGCACTCACCTTCCTCATCTGAATCAAAGCCGAACAGAGATGTACACTGGTTTGAGGAGTGGTGACTCTGTAACTCCTCTGCGCTACTGAAGATGAGGAAGCACTTGGCACATCGTTGCCTCGGGGTTTTGTCACTTGGGCTGCTCTGCTGTACAGAAGAGGGACTGGGAACTGCTGAAGATTTCCTGCGCTTGGGCATGCTGATGTACTTCTCATCCAAGTAGGCGGAGGGCGCCAGACGCACAAACGGTCTGTTGGATGTCCCCCCGTAGCCAGACTGTTCTCCAGGTTTGGCTGCTTTCTGGCCTGGCAGACAAGGCTCCTGCTGACCCACTGCACTTTCAGTTTGGGTTTTATCGTCTACACTTTTGTTGCCTAGTCTATTCTCTTGTTCACTTTCCTGGGGACTCTCAGTTTTGCACTCAGTTTGAGCTGAGACATCCAGCCTTCCCCCATTTTTACCATGACCGTTGACAAGCTGTATGTCAGCATCCTTGTCCTCTGTAGAGCTGACACCTTCAGCAAGTACAGGCATCCCTTCTACATTCTGTGCCTGCAGCTCTTGCTTTTCATTGCTTATTGCCATGGAATTTGTGATATATTTGCTGGAGGTTGCAAACCTATCATTCTTACAATCTGTAGGTTCTTGGCAAACCAAGCCACTGTTAGTGGTATCTTGAAACTCTTCCCGTTTCCCACGAACAACCCAGACCGTGTCCTGGGTCTCATCTTTTGCTTTGGTAGGCAGGTAATGCTTCAACTCGTGTTCAAATAATAGACGTAGGAGACTGAAACGCCTCAGACAGCCTGCAAAGCTACACTGTGCTTGGAGTGGTTGATGGCTCTTCATGTGACTCTTGAGCTCCGTCAGGGTCTTAAAGCGTTCTTTACAATCATAATGGAGGCAAGGATGTTTGAGTGGATGATTGTGGCCTCTGATGTGGTCCTGGTAATGTGGCAAACTAAGAAACTTTCTCTTGCAGAAGTGGCAGTTTCCCTTCTTTAAGGAGAAGGTGTATTCCTGAACTTTCACATCATCAGCATGGAATTTCATGGCATGCCTGATCAGAGGCCACTCTGCTCGGGCAAATGTCTTATCGCAGCCATCTGCAGGACAGCAGTACTCTCCCTTTTCACTTTGCTGACTTCCAGTTTCAACAAATCCATTGGCTTTCACTTTACCTCTTGAAATGTTTGACTGTTGGGTATGATTCATATCAACAGCCTCATTATTAAATGTTTTATATGGAAGAACTATATCTTCGTAACTCGCAGTAGTAGTTCCAATATCATTATCTGGATTGCAATTAGGGGCATTTTTCATTTTTTCAATGTGTTCTGTCACATGGCTCTTTGCTTTAATACGAGATCTAAATACTTCTGTGCAGAACATACACTTCAGCTTGTCCCGCTGGAGATGAGCCACTGCATGACGCATTATATTCCCACCTCTGAACTCTTTGTTACATTCCTTGCAACGATGCTTGAGAATTAAGTTTCCCATTTTGGTGGGAGAACTGGACGAGGCTGACAAGGCTGCTAAAGGCTTGTGTGGTTCTGCATCTGCAGCACTGGGAACACTGTGGAAGTCAGAACTACCATCGGTGCTAGCAGCAATTTTAGTTTGGCTTTCATATGGTATAGCCCTGTAATCAGTAGCATTACCCATGATCTGCGGGTCACCAGTACCACCATTTGGAATTATATTCCTATTAATATCTGAAACATTCCCTTCCAAAGGAATCTCACACGTTGTATCAATGTGAATCACATCATGACGAATTTCAGATCCCACTATGGAAACTTTAGCTGCAAATACTGGATTAACAATGCTTGTCTGAACAGGTGAACTAACTTCTGTTTCCACTAAACGTTGACAGGAATGCCCTATCGTATAGTCCTGCCCTGACTTATATAAATCTTCCTTTTGCATAGGAGATGCTGCTCCAGGCAGTGACTGAAGACCAACTTCTGAGGTTTCTTCAAGAATTTTGGAATAGTTGTGCAGTTCTTGTATGGTGGCAATATGCAATTCAATGGCTAATTCCTCACAAAGTTCAGAATTTAGCTCAGTCGACAAAGGAGGTGACTCAGCCTTACTTAGTCCCTCCAATGGAGCATCTGTTTCTGTCATGCAAGGCTTAGCAAGCAGCTGTTCCATAGGAACCTTTGGAATACCAAAAATATTCTCCTGAGTAGAGTCTTGCTGATGATGTCCCTGCTCTGGAAGTTCCACATCATGGTCCACAGAGAAAGACTCCATAAACTCATTATCAGGAAGAGAAAATTCCAGCAATGTTCCATGGACAGGAATGGCTTGTGCATCCTCTAGGAGAGGTGCAGGCGACATGGACATGGCCTGATCCTGAGACTGGGTGAGGACTGTATTCATTTCACCCTGGACTTCAACATGTGATGACACCTCATCACCTTTTTTCTCCAAAAAGACTTCTTGGGTCTCCATGTCTATGCTAGTCTTGCCAGTAGCACATTCGGACAATTTTTCTGTGGGAAAATGCTGCATTTTCTTCCCAAAATAGCTTCGTCTAGAAATGCTGTTCTCAGCCTGTCTGGCCATGTCTTGCAGCAGCCAGCGTGGTTTTCTGCCACGGCATTTCAAGGTTTTCTTTTCTACCTGTCTGGCAAGGTGCCTTTGTTCCCTGCTGCCATGCATGTTGGAATTCTCTTGAGACATGTCCAGCCGCCTGAAAGACCGTCTTAACTGGCATTCACCAACTAGATTCTGGACACGTGACCCAGGTTTCCTGCCCCTTTTCTTTGCTGGAGGTGGTACAGTTTCTTCAGCTGGAACAGGAACAAGTTTGACTTCAGGCTTGTTTCTATGTAGTTTCACTTCTTCATTTGTATTGCAGTCTGAAGCATCTGAATGCAACTTGTATGGCTCTTTCACACAGTAGTGTGGCATCCATTTATCATCTATAATTTCATTCAAAGCAGCTTTCATAACTTTTTCACTCATCAGCTTCAGGCAGTTGGTTCTCAAAGTGATAAGGTTCCAAAACTCTGGATCAAAAAACAAACCCTTCTTTAAAATCTGAAGAATTTCAAAGCGAATCTGGTTTTTTATTAAACTGGAGTCGACATGATATTCCTGGTCGGGGTGAGTGTAGAGAATGTATACAGTCTTGTAAGACTCCACAGTACGCTCCAAGAAGAACACCAGAAGGGCACAAGCTCTGCAGACCTCTAGATCACTGGGCAACAAGTAAGCAATGGTCTTGTAGATTAGTGATTTGGTGACAGGGTCATGGTGAAGGTCCATCTGAAGGGCACGTGCACACAGGTCCACACAGAACTGCAAGCCTTCATTGCCCATCTATTAGACAGAAGACAGAGACTGAAACAATTAACTGGTCACTATCAGGGTTCTAAAACCCTGAACAGAAATTAAATTAATGCAAGGAAAAGGCTGAAATAAGACCTGAAAATGGCCACAAGGTTTTATTGCTAGCCAAACAAAAAATGTACATTACTTTAACATCTATTACTCTAACACCTAGTAAGTCTTATCAATCTGTCACAACCAGAGTAAGAGTATGTGATTTTGTGTAAGACGAGTTATTTTACAACACTGACAATATTTGGGAAGTGCCCATTTTTCAGAAGCCATGTTCTAAGCGTCAGTCAAGTTACGTGGGTAAAACTTAACTCCAAAAATATGCAACAGACAGCTTTCAAGCCCAAGCCCAAGATGTCCTAATGGCTTCACTCCAATAAGAAAAAAAAAAGACGTAAAAAACAGTGGGTAAGTACATAAGGATAATGGATGTAAAATGTATCCTGCCACATGTATGAGTGTTTCCACCTGAAAATAGTAGTTTGTAGTGACATGGTGCACGAGTACTAATCAATAGCACTTACTTCATCTCTGATGACTTTCATAAAAGGAAAGATAGATTTGACATTAGTCACACGCTGCATCAGTTGATAGCATTCTTCCAAAAAGTTCTCTTTGGAAGGGTTTGCCCTGAGGTGAAGCTTGCTCCATATGAAAATTAGGTCCCTGAAGGAGAAATAAGTAATTTACCTAAAACTCACTCACATAAAACAATGCCAGCTGACAGTTCAAGTTCTGAGATTTTGAAATCTAAAATTAATGTCCCTTTTTAGGATTGATCATTCTGTCTTGCAATGAGATTCTCCGCAGCCTCAGGCTGCAAAAAGCATACCTCTAAGTTCAGGAGAGGATTTCAGCACTAATCTCTCAGGGTTAGAGTTTTTTTTTTTGTTGGAGATTTAGCAACTAGAGTTCAGGTAATCCTTGCATGTATTTGTATTTGTTCATTTAATCTTCTGCTTCTCATTATCTTAATGTCCATATGCTTGTGGGCTTGGTTTATACCTTGATTTTCATGTTATGCAGTAATATGTCAATATCTCACATAAATAAACATTGTTTAAACATACTGTGCCTAGCAATTATGTGCTTGTATTGGTACTCTGTTACTTAATACCCTTATTTGCACTGACCAGAAAGCAACCGGCCAAATAAATAAATGGGACTGAAATATTTTCTGAATTTGCAGAAGTTTTATAAAACTTACCCAGACTATCATCATTATATAAAAGCACTAAACTTCAATAACCTTTAGATTTGTACCAAGAACTGTTGAAACATTCAAAAGCATAGTGGTGTAGTAATATCATTAGCAGTAAGTTCTACTTTGTTTTTCTTAGCAAAACATGCATAAAAAGTAACTACAGTTCAATCAATTCAGGTACAAGTACTTTGTTTTGTTTTTCATTATCAAAAAATGTCTAAAATATTTCTTAATTACAACCATTGTGGCTGTAATTTTGTATTCTACTGTTGTTGATGGTAAACTATAATTTAGCCGTTTTGGTTCTGTTGAAAAACAGGATTTTCCATCCCCAAAATAAAGACTCACCCAACACCTATTAATATAGCCAAGCTTTTCTCCATATTACATTCTACATATGAGCATCTCTTTCACTATTATACAGTCGTGGCCAAAGGTTTTTTGAATAAAACAAATATTAATTTTCACAAAGTCTGCTGCCTCAGTTTTTATGATGGCAACTTGCATATACTCCAGAATGTTATGAAGAATAAAATTTATCAAATACAGTGGTACCTCAGAACTCGAACTTAATCCGTTCAGAACTCCGGATCGAATCCTAAAAAGTTGGAGTTCTGATCGAATTTTCCCCATAAGAAATAATGGAAAACCAATTAATTGGTTCCCGGCCTCCCAAAAAATTACACCTAAATATGTTTTTTTAGCATTTAAACACAAAATGAACCGGATAAAACAAGAAGAGCATATACTGTACTAAACACATCTAAGCACATTTATCAAAACAGTAATTTGTAAAGTAAGAAAATAAATGTATCCAAACAATGTGTCCTGTCCCGATCGTCTGCTCCTTCCGTGTGCCACGCCCCCTCATTAACCCTGTATGGAATCCCCATGTGATCAGCTGTTTCTGGTTGTTGTCATTAGCCCTCTGTATTTCCTCCGCGTTTCAGTTTGTTTCCCTAGTCCGGTCATTGTATTGTCTGTCTGTGTTTTGCCTGCCTTACCTGTAATTAAACCCCGTATTCTCCGATACCCTGACGTCTGTGCCTTTGTCTCCGTTCCGTCCCTGCTCAGCACGACAATATTTTTATTATTAAACGTATTAATGGTTTATTATTAATATTAAAATAATGAATAAGAAATCTTTATTTTTAAATGTATTTTATTACATAATAATTACTGTTACTGTCTAAATGTATTTTTACTGTCTAAATATATGTATTCAGCTAGTGTAAACATGCACGATGCTATCACAGCGAATGCGAGGCTGAGACTGAAGCGTTACCCTTTGTTTCCGCTGAGAGACGTGACTCATTTCCCTGCGCGTACAAATTCTTATGTCGGCATTCACGGTTTGACTTCTGAGATTCAGATCGAGCTCTAGGTAATTTTTTTTCGAACTGGTTGGTTCGACTTTTAAGAAATTCGAGTTCCAATGAGTTTGAGAACTGAGGTACCACTGTACATTCATTCCATTAAAGACAAAGTAATTTCAATACACCCCTGAGTGACAGGAACATAACTGGATTGGACTGGATTGGGGGGGGCACTATGATATGCTTTTATGGGGCCCAAAATCACTAGCAACGTCCCTAAACAGAGTACATGTATTTTCAGCAAAAACTAATGGAGAAGCTGTTAGTGTACTGCACATTTTTCCTGTAAACTCAACACGGAAACCAAACACGAGTGACAATCATATTCCACATCAATGGTCACTCTTGCAACTGACCACATGTAGTACATGTCTCCATTCTGCAGCTGCTGAGTGAGGAAAGCTTTACTGAAAGCCAGGAGCAAATCATCCTTCTCCTCTTTTTCAGTGTTGCAGAGTATTTCGACAGCATCTCTCCCATCAATCACAGCCATCTGTGAGGTTAGAAATATCCATGAGACAATTACAAATTAGAACTAAAACAATAAAAGATGTTTCACTTACTTGGGTAAACAGACTTGGATAACAAATATTACAAAACACTGTCTAGAGAATTAAGCTTTTGAATACATGAATCCCCTCATTCCATCATTCATTCATTTTCTGTTTTGCTTATCAAGAAGAGAGTAGCAACATGAACAAAAATGTTTTCAATTTAGTTATTTATCCATCATTATTTATCACCATTCTAATTTCACTTCTTACTTCTTTCTGAAAGTGATCGAGTAGTGATGTCTTCCATAGACATGTCAAGTGAACCTGGTGAAAGTACAGGTGCTTCCCCATCTCCGGATGCTGCGTGCAACTCTTTGCTAGGGCCACAGCCTCCTGAATTCGATCACAGGCCAGCAGGTAGCGCACCCGCAAATCAAAGAAAACAGGTTCTTCAGAGTCCAAATACTTCCTGGCTGTCAAATCAGAGAGAAATCAATGTAAAAAAAAAAACACTTTTCACATCACAGACTGAGACAAAGGGCACTGTTCCACCGCACCAGGTACCTTACTTTTGGTACTTCAAGAAAGTGTAAAAACTGGAACTGCCACTACATGAAATCACAACACAAGGTGGAGTATTTTGTACTTAACTTGAAAAATGACTGCCAATAAGGAACACCGAATATCTGATACACGTGCGCTGGGAGCTGAGAGGAAGCAAAAACGTGGACTGCCCAGGGTTCCCCGAGGAATAGGTTGGGTGATCGATGAACAATATTGATACCATCATCGCATGTTATGCACATGGAATTCTTACATTGCGGTCGGCTAGATTAAGGTTTTTTCTTACCTTCAATTCTGTATGGATGATATAGCGCAGGGAGTTTAAGTTTCACTAAAACATTTTTACTTTATTATAGGAAAGAAAAAAAAAACTTTTATTGACTATTTCTTTTCAAGATTATCTAGCATATGTTTAAAAATCAGTTTAAAGTTTACCTCCACTTTTGCACAAGTGCTGCATGCGTTCTCCGAGACAAACATAATCATTTTCATCCTTGCTGTTAAACCACTCCTAGACAGGTTTGAGAAACTTATGTTGAACTCCTTTTTTTGCTCTATAAATACCAATATTTATTACTAACATCACACCGCAATATTTGCAAATTTTCCTTATAGCATGCTGTCATAGTATTTTATACAAAATACTTTGTGTCGTCATGCTATCCTGTTCTTGTATCTATTCTTCCGACCAGATCGCAATTTGAGCTTTGGTCTCAATTTATCCATGCATCCATTATTATTACTTTATTTATCTTAACTTCATTTATCATTGTTTTCAGAGTTGGCAACTGTTCTAGATAGCGTTTGTATTGTTTCAGAGGCTGGCTGTTTGCATAACCAATTGAAAAATTAAGTGTTTCAACTCCCACCCAAAAGTACCAAAAACGTGGTTCGGCACTTTAGGTATTAGAACTTTTGGTACTGGTACTCAAACGGAAGTCAATGGAAAAGGGAAAGTACCATACCAAAAGTACAGTATCTGGTGAGGTGGAGAGGCACCAAAAGTAATCTACACCCTACCTTCATCCTGCAGCTGAACAGACTCCCTTAAGATGGCCTGCAATGTTGAATTCGCCCATGGACCACCATTTCGGATTATCTGGTTCACCACCCACAGGTAAACATTGTTGTATCTCACCAGATTTGCAAAACAGTCCTATAAGAGAAGAGAGACTACCACGTTACCAGAAGCAGTTCTGCAAGAGAATGTGAAGAAAATGGATTATTCAGTGCAGTATTGCTGGAGCCTACAGCCGATCCCAGGTAACACTGGACACAAAGGCAGGGGAGACCCTCAGTCAGACGTCTGTCCAGTGCAAATGTGGACTTTAAAGCAGATTAATATACATTTATCACACTCTGAGCAGTACAAGACTTGAGCATAATACCTGAAAAGAGTCGAGTATGTCTTTTAAAGGGTCCTCCAGGAATTCATCCTTGCCAAAAAACAGCAGGAGTTCAAAAAAGCTCCTAAAGAGAAATGATTTCCTCTATCACAATGTGATTTGGTTACATGGACCAAACTACACATGTAAACATAAACCAACATTTCTTCAGTTTTTCATATGAAATGAACATGCACTTAAAAGCCTTCACCCCACATTTCTGTATCTGAATTTTCATTTAAGGAGATATCTAGGGATGCACTAATACTGGCACTGTATCAGGCTGATACTGTGGTCATATACCCATACTCGTAAAATTTGTCTGATACCAAGGACCGATACCACTTAATTGCAACATTACATTAAAACTCAAAGCCGAGGCATTTTGTCAGACTGTAAGGTCTATTCTGTTAGTGTCAAGAAGAGGAAGGGACAGCACACCACTTAATACAAGCAATTTTATCAAAAGACCCACCACAGTGCAGAGTAAATGGAGTTTGCTAATGCTAGCAGAGAAAAACCGCAACAACAAACTTTAGTGCAAATTATGGAATAACATAGGGAAAATTAATCGAAGCGTTATTTATATCTAGCATTAAACAAGTTTAGTTATTTAATGTTAGATATAACTAACACTTTAGGTTTAATCACAAATAAAAGTACACCTAGGTGCACACTTTCTTTGCTCCTATAAAAAACGGAACACTGCCAAGCGGACCAGTCACAGTTCTCGTGGTCTGCGTCGCTAAGACATGTAGTCAAATTTTCTGGGGAGATACATAACAGGCTACAGCATAGGGTCCACAGCTACACCATACTTAGGGTGAGGATTCAACGCAGAAGTATAAGTCAGCCTATACAGTCATGGTTTTGTTCCTCTGTAAAGACCTTTCAAGCTGAGAGTTGAGAATCTAGATATAAATGAGCTGAAAACTCAGGTTTCAAGTAAGTAAAATAAATACATACAGCGGAAACCACTTATAGTGATCACAGTTATAGTGAAGAACTGCTTATATACCTCAAAAATAGGGTTGGGCATCATTCAAAATGTTTCGATACCAGTACCAGAACCTTGATTTCAATACCAATTCCTGAACAATACTTATTTTATATCAATATGTTTTTAAAATCAATTTTAACATAAAGAATACATGCCACATGCCTGCCGCATTCATCAGATCTTACTCTGCCACTTCCGCC